GAAAACATATACCGGGTTCCCCTCCTCTTGCCCTTTGTGTTAGTCGTTTTGGCAAATTACTGGAAGATGGCGGTTCCGGCCGAAAGGCCATTTTGATGTTTTAAAAAATGTCAGGTTCGTACCATGGAACCTCATGGTTGTGCAGTCTTAGGGCAGACTTCATTGACTCTCTGGTTCTCTTCTACAGTTGAGTCAAAAGCAGAGGTATGGGAAAAAGAAACGAAAGGCATAAGCGTTTCATGCAAATTATGCCTCAAGGAATAGTCACCGATTTTTTTTTTTTTTTCCTCCCGAAACTGAGGATTGAACTCTGGTCCTTGTGCTTACCAGGGAAGCGCTTATTCCACTGAGCCATCTGCCAGGCCCCAATATTTTTATTTTATTTTACTAATTAATTTATCTTTTGGTGGAACTGGGGATTGAACTCACGTCTTTGTGCTCGCCAAGGAAGCACTTATTCTACTGAGCCATCTCCCCTGCCCTAGTCACTGATTTTCGAATGTCTTACATTGCTCATCTCTCGTGGTCCTTAGGAGATTAGAACACGGGGGCCAAGGAGCTCTGTGTATTAAGTGCAGAAACAGCGATGGAAGGATAAAGGCTTGAAAGTCAGAGCAGGAACCTCTCATGAGCCATTCCCCAAATCTCTGTTTCCTCATCTCTAAAATGTGGGTCTTCTTCCTTATCTTTTGCCTCCCGATTTAGAAAAGCAGGGCCTTAGTGAGACCATTTCGTTGGCTCTGGATTTTGTGTTTTGGTGTTTCTTTCTCCTGTGGGGGGAGTTGGCAAACCTGGTCCCCTCCTACAGCTCTGTCTCTTGCTGACCCCAGAGGGGGCCCAGTTCTTGCATTTCACAAGATTCTGTTGTTGATATTGAAATTGTAGCAGGTCAGAGTGGAATTTCTCACACATTGTAGCATGAACACCAGGGCATACTACGGTTGTCCCTTAGGATCCACCATACCCTCATGTAATTTTAAAAGGGAACAAATCTCGCATGTGCAGGGCTCTCCAGGAAGGCCAATGCGGAGAGAGCTAGTGTGGTGATTTCACTTCAGATCAGACCTCTGCCTGCTTCCATTTGTCACACTGGGGCAGAAATTACTGCACCTCTCTGGTTCTTGAATTTTTGTGACAGCTGAGTCCTTCCTGGTGCTGTGTGGGTGAAATGAGATTCGAAGGCTGGTGACCCGAAGCAATGACTCATAGCAGGTGGTCCTTAAGTATTTATTTGCTTTTCTTCTCTCATTTATGTGTAGAGTACCTTGCAGTTTAAAAATACTTCTTTATGCTTACCAATTAATTCTCAAAATAATATTGTGAACTAGCTCATGATTTATGTAAATTTTTCCTTACAGACCTGATTTGGTCTTATATATTACTTATAGTCCTTAATTTCATTTAACAACATCCCCCCCATCCCCATAGAAATAAAAGGTCTTCCAAAGTCAAAGTGTAACAACTTCTCTATCTGAGCAGAGAGCAAATGTGGTTCTGAAAGAAAGCGTTTTTGCAAACCAGGCTCCTGCACTGAACTTCAACTGTTCCCAGCTGCTGGTGCCCTGTAGAGTTAGCCTAGAGTGCAGCCTTCATCTTCAACCAGAATCTGCTCCTAACATTGGAAACTGCTCGGGATGGTGCACTACCCCGTCTCTCCACTCTTCAGGCACTCTACCTGCTGCCACCCACATGGAACCCAGACTACCCATGCCTATTAGGGGAAAAAAACTGTCCCTATCACTGAAGTGTGGGGACAGGAGGTGCTCCTGTGGGCTGGGAGGGGAGGATCTCAATATTTGCTAGGAGAGGAACCAGAGAACTGCAGGCACCTCTTCCTCTGCCTCTCTCCAAGCTTTGAGGGGGTAAGGCCCTACCTGCTCTTTATCTTTAGGTTCCTCCACCAGCGCACTCTTTTCTGCATCCTCCTCTCCAAAGGAAAAGAGCACAACCTCTCCAAGGTTTTTTCATCTTCATTTCTGGGAAAACTAGTGCAGAGCCACAGTTCTCATGGGTTTTATTGCTCTAAGTAAGTTGTCCCTTAGGGCAGGAATACTGGGAAAGTTTAATGACTCATGAAATCCTAAGTCTCTGAATAAGCCCAAGCCCTGTGGAAAGGTGGTCTCTGGTCTCTGTCCCGGTTTCTCCCTCACTCACCTTATTCTTACCTTGGAGCCAGCCAGGCTGAGTGAGGCTTCTCAGTTTTATTTCCAGCAGCTGAGAACACGCTCCCAAACCCTCCAAATTCAGTAGAGGGCGACAAAGCTACACGGAGCTGATCAGAGCCAGTGGGGAGCGTCTCCTGACCCTCCAGGACCAGGGCTGCAGGCTCTGCCCTGTTCTTTCTCTTCCCCACCTCCAGTTCCACTCTCCATTCTTACTCTTAGCGCTGCACTACAAGTGGATATGTGGTAAACAATGCATCAGATCAATAGTATTTAATTAAAGTGTTTAAAGAGTTGATCTCCAAATAGGGAAAAAAAAATTAATCACAGGTTAGATGATCACCAGAAAAATCAGAGATGCCATAAAGAGGGAAAATTTAAATATATCAAATGACAAGAAAATAGAATATTCACCAAATCCTAGCCTGTTAAGGACCACTTAACAGTTGGACAAAAAAAAAATATCAATAGAGTTGGACATATAAGGACTAGAACTTCTGTATATATAAAATCAAGATAAATAAATGAGATATTTTGCACACTGGAGAATATAGGTACATGTATGATAGATGTAACAGCTCACACAACTTCATTAAAAACATCTAATGTGCCTCATAAATTAGGCAACAATGAACACTTTTAGAGATACCATGAATAAGGAATTAAATTAAGAAATAGGCCTTTGATTAAATGTACGACCTCTAATGAGTTGTACATTAAACCCACATGGAATCTAGACTACCCATACCTATTGGGGGGAAAAACTGTCCCTATCCCTGAAGTGTGGGGACAGGAGGTGCTCCTGTGGACTGGGAGGGGCGGATCTCAATCTTTGCTAGAAGCGGAATGACTGAATAACATGAATTATAGCAGTGAGGTACCATTTCTTTTGCCCACTAAGCCAGCAGAAACAAAATGCTTTTATGGGAATGTCCAAAGCTGGTGAAGTTGGCTCAGGTAGGCCTTTGTCCACATGCTGACATGCTACCGGATGGTGGCATAGCAGAGTGGTATGAGAATAGTTGCCAAAGACTTAAAGATACTTGGACTCTGCCAGGCCAGGGGTCACAGGCCTATAATCCCAGCACTTGGAAGGCTGATGAAGGAGGACTGACTCAACTTCAAGGCTGCCGTGGGCTATATAATGTGACCCTGCTTCAAAAAACAACTAGAGGGCTGGAGAGATAGCTCAGTGCAATAAGCGCTTCCCTGGCAAGTGCAAGGGCTTGAGTTCAATCCCTAGTTCTGAAAACAACAACAACAACAACAACAACAACAACAACAACAACAACAACCAAACAACTAGAACAGAAAAATTTATATTCTTTGGTTCAATAATTTACTCCTGAGAATATGTCACAGTGGAATAATTTTTGAAAAAGCTGTATATCTAAGGATGTTTAAAATATTATTTTAAAATCAATATGTAAAACACCCTGTTACAGAAAATGAAATAACATTTTAAAATGGAAACAAGCTAAAAGTTCAACAAAATAGAAATGGTCAAGTATAGTATATTTTGGCTATGTCCACGTAAATATCCATACTAGAATACAGAGGCTTAAAATGTGATTTAAACAACTAGGGAATCATGAAACAAAAATACAAAAATAAATTTCTAATGTGGAGAAAGAGAGAGAGAGAGAGAGAGAGAGAGAGAGAGAGAGAGAGAGAGAGCACACTTTGAGATTTCTAAATGAAGTATGATTTATACTTTGGTTAAAAATTCAAAAGGTTAAGGATTTCCTTCTTTGCTGTGGTTTCCAAACATCTTACAGAACTAACACACACACACACACACACACACACACACACATGCACACACACATGCACACACACACATAGGATATAGATAAAGGTGCATTGGTTGTGTCACCTTTACGGGGCAGCCCAGAACCTCAGCTAATGGGATTCAGAATGGGATTACAGATATTATTTTTGTTGTTGTTGCTGTTACCTGGAATCGAATTCAGGATCTTGCACTTGCCAGGCAGGTGCTGTGTCACTGAGCTACATCCCATCCCATGTACATTTTAGGGGACAGATTACCAACCAGAATTTTTCCTACATCTTGGTTAGAGGTGCAGATTTGTCCTGAAATACATTCAATTCTGGAGCTTTCAGGTAATCTAGACAAACAACGTGATGAAAAACAGTGCGATTGTGGGGTAAGATAATGTACATGGATTATATTCCTTTTTTAAAAAATATTTATTTTTAGTCTTGTGTATTCCTTTTAGTGTGTGTGTGTGTGTGTGGCCAGCTCAGCCCACCAGGGGGCAGGCGGGCTGGCATGTGGTGCTGGGGGATTGAACCGCGGTCCCTGTGCTTTGCCAAGCTTGTTCCAAGTAGGTGCTTTAGACCACTGAGCCATCTCTCCAGCCCCATGGATTATATTCTTTTAGCATCAGATTCTTGAAATTAACTGAACCACACAGGGTTTCAGCGAGGCCTCTGATCCAGGATCTTAGGACATGTGGCCAGCTCTGTGATGCGGTCTCCCAAGTTCTTGCTGAGAGAAGCACAGATAGGGCTAAGATGCCTACAGTCAGGTGTGGGAATCTGCGATCGTCCTGGGATCAGAGCAGAACCTAGGAGAGGACCTGAGCTTTCTGCCGACACACCACCCTCTTCAGCGAGGTGCTGTGGATGGGCGACCCGAAGGCTAGAGTCCCCTTGCCACTCTTTCCCCCTGTGCACTTTCCTGGACTCCCAGAATCTGTTTCAAGTGCACCTCATCCTTCCTTTTCTCTTCATGTCTCTTCCTCTTCCTTCTTCTTTCCCTCCTTTTTCTTGACTCTGTTTGTCTTGTTCTGTTTTCAGTACAGAAGCATTTACCTAGGTGCCTGCTTTGGCCCTGTATCCTGTGGGGTTCGTCCTCGGGTGCTCAATGTCCAGGACAGACACAGGCCAGTAGGATTGGCATCGGAGTCCGGTGTGAGCGGGGAAACAATAGAGTAAGTCAGGGAGCTAGGAAAAGGAAGGGCCAGCCCAGGTGTCGCGGGAGGACAGGACTTCCAGAAGCAGGTGACATCCAAAGGGTCCTGAAGTCTAAATACAAACTAGGAAGGTGAAAAGGGGCAGCTGAAGGTGGTCCGGGTGAAGGGTCAGGGGAGATTCCTATGGGAATCTCCTATGGGAATCTCCTATGTATCTTCGGTTGCCTGTTTAATTCAAGGCCAGACTTGACTTGTGCGTGTGTGTGCACGTGTGTAAAAAGCACCAGAGGTAACACCTGTGAGCCAGGAGAGGTGAAGAGGAAGGGAGAGGGTGGGAGGGAAAGGAGCAGGAGCAGACACAAAGGTTGAGCAAAAAGACGGAGGCAGCCAGGCGGAGGGAGGGTGCTCAGAGACGAATGGAGCCAGCTAAGGACTGAAAACTACGGGGTAGATTCTTGATAAACTGATACTTGGGGCTTTCCCAGGGCCGGGGCCTGAGCCTGGGTAGATTAGGGTCTCCGTGCCATGGTGAAACTCACAGTTCTGCTGAGGAAAGGCGACTGCAAGGCAGAAAGAGATGGAGGTAGGCTGAACAGTCAGCAAAGTCTTCCTGGAAGAAGTGGGTACCGAGAAGCGTTCCAGGGGTGGACCGCGCTGAGATGGACGCGCTGAGATGGACTGCTTGTGCGCAGGTCTGCGGCCGGGCTGCGGCAGGGCTCCGCCTCTCCGCGCTGACCACTCACGCTGCCTTCCAGGGCCCAGGATGCTGGTGCTGCAAGCCGCTCTCCTGCTGTTAGCCCTGCCCAGCCACGCTGAGGAAACCCCTACTGAGGAGCCAGGAGCCCTGCTTCCGCCACCCAAGGGGCCCTGCTCAGGGTGGATGGCAGGCATCCCAGGGCATCCTGGCCACAACGGGATCCCAGGCCGAGATGGCAGAGATGGCGCCCCTGGAGAGAAGGGTGAGAAGGGAGACGCAGGTAAGAATGAGGCCTGGCATCCCTTCCTCATAACCGCTCCTGGGTAGAGGGGGCATGCTCCGGGACTTGGGCACAGGAGGGAGCAAAGCTTTTCCATGTAACACAGACGCGGACAAGAACAGACTAAGGTTGGGCTTCCAGGGGAGAGATTAAGTAGCGCCTCCTATCCACCCGGACTGTTCTCCATCTGCGCCTTCTTCTGCATCCTCCATCACCTCCCCACTGCAAGCCCCGTGTGTTCACACTCCTATTCTTCCTCCCCAGTCCACATTCAGCCACAGGCACTGCACGCCTCTGGGGTTTCCCCAGCTTTGGAGGGCCCTTGATCCTAACATAGACTTTCAGGAGTCACTACGAGAAAGTCTATGCCAAGTATGCCAAATTGCATGTGAACAAATGCCCCAACCACACATGAAACAAAAAACACAAAAGCAACAAAAAAATCCAACCACTCAACCAAACAAAAGACCCAGCTGCCCAATCGGGACAGAGAGACTGCGTCACACGCCTCTTGCAGGAGGCGGTAGTTGAGCCAGGTCTGGAGGGATGTGGAGGCAGAACAGAGGAACAAGCCGGTTGGACAGAGGGCGAAAGTGGTTGCAGTCCAGCCACCCAGGGGCGGCAGGCCCATCCAACCGTGTGGGTTGGCCATGAATGTATAGGAACTTGCGGGGCTGTGGGTAAAGTGGAGAGACATCTGAAGGAATGAATCAAGAAGTGAATGAATGAGAAAATGGACAAATGATGTTCAGAACGCTGGCCAATCACTGACTCAGAGCCTCCGCCAGGCCAGACAGCCCCAAAGTCAAAGAGCAGTCAGTGATCTTGCAGTAGAGCTAAGAGATTGACTTTCTGATCTACTTTGAGGATTCTGAACATTATTCAGCCATTTACCCATTCATTTATCCATTCATCAAGTGCCCTTTTCGTATGTTTATTTATGTACTTTAATTTTACAAAATATTGGGTTTCAATGTGGCATTTACACACACACACACACACACACACACACACACACAGAACGTATTTTGGCCCTATTTGTCCCCCTACACACACACACACACACACACACACACACACACACACACAATGTATTTTGCCCTTATTTGTCCCTCTACGACACTCCCTTAATATTCCCGCCCCTTTGTTTCCTTCCCCTTGTCTAGCAGTGGGCTCAAGAGTCTTTTCATGAGTTAGAAGTGAATTTGTGGGAAGCTTCCGGTCTGTAGGAAATGTGCAGAGAGAAGGTGGCATCTCTCCTTGCTCTGTCAAGCGTGCTGTGGCTGGAGGTCCCAGAGACAGTGGTTTCTGTGGAAACAACTGAGACAGTCATATTCCACATTGTCACTGAAGCCTTCTTGTCCTCTAGGTCTTATTGGTCCTAAAGGTGACACTGGTGAAACTGGAGTGATTGGGGCTGAAGGACCCCGAGGTTTTCCAGGCATCCCAGGCAGGAAAGGAGAACGTGGAGAAGGTGCTTACGTGCACCGCTCAGCATTCAGTGTGGGGCTGGAGACCCGTGTCACTGTCCCCAATGTGCCCATTCGCTTTACCAAGATCTTCTATAATCAGCAGAACCACTATGATGGCACCACCGGCAAATTCCACTGTAGCATTCCTGGACTGTACTACTTCTCCTACCACATCACAGTCTATCTGAAAGATGTGAAGGTCAGCCTCTTCAGGAATGACAAGGCTGAGCTCTTCACCTACGACCAGTACCAGGAGAAGAATGTGGACCAGGCCTCTGGCTCTGTGCTCCTCCATTTGGGTGTTGGTGACCAAGTCTGGCTTCAAGTGTATGGTAATGGAGACCACAGTGGACTCTATGCAGATAATGTCAACGATTCTACTTTCATGGGCTTCCTTCTGTACCATGATATCGTCGAGTCCTCCTAACGTAGAGCTCCATCAGACCACATGGCCCAGAAGTCAGTTAAAGCTTTCAGTCAACAAGCCTTCAGCATAGATAAGAGATTGATTTTACTATCTAGTTTGAGAGTTCTAAATGTTGCCTATGTATTTAGTCATCCATCCATCCATCCATCCATCCATCCATCCATCCATCCATCCATCCATCCATCATCCCTCCTCCACCCATCACCCCTCCCTCCCTTTCTCCCTCCTTCCATCTATCCAGTGCCTTTTTCTAAACATCACGTATTACTTTCCCTGTCTCGAAGAAGACCTGGTCCCTCCAGGATCTCTCATGTAGCAGCACCAACAGACAGTAAAGCTATTTCTTGGCACACTTCATATACCTGAAATAGTAACAGCTGTCAGGAAGTAATTAGCAACACTGTTTTGTTCCCATCACCTCTCCATTCATGCCGACCCTGTGAGGCACCTGGCAAAGACATTGTTCTCTGTTTTACAGTTGGGCAGGAGGCAGTAAGTGAATGTTCCAGGTCACACGGAGCTATTGAGCAGCAGAGCTAAGAATCAAAGCCAGAGTCATGAACTCTTCCCACTTCCCCATGGCCTCTTTGCAGTCTCAGGAGGGGCCTGGGCCTCACCTCATTCAAGGGCCTCTGATTGTGCCTTCGACCAGTTAAAAGTTTTCCCCAGCAGAGCTCCCCCAGGGAGGGTGGTGTTGGCTTGGGTTGCACCGAGCTGGACTCTTCAGTGTGCCCTGCCCTGTGTGGTGGTTTCCTTCCTGTGTCTCCCTTCATACTGCCCTTCCAGCAGGGAATGTGGCTTGCACTTCCCCGTGTTGAAACTCTTGGCCCTGCTCAGGATACCCTGGCTGGGAGCTCCCATGCTGTGTGCCTGTCTTGGTTACCTTCTTGTCCCCGAGGTGCAATACCTGACACCCACAACTTCAAGGAAGCGAGGTTTGTTTTGTCTCATGGTTTACTGCATAGTCAGCGGGTCTCCCAGGCAAGATGACATGGCACAGGGCAGGGCAGGGCAGGGGTATGCTGCTCACCAAGCATGGCAGACAGGAAGCAGAGTGTGAAGGGAGGAGTGGGGTGGGAGATGAGCCCTCTGTGGGCACACCCCGGGGACCCACCTTTTCCAAGTAGACTTCACTGCTAACAGCAATTCAGCTGCGAGTCCCCATAATCCAGTCTCCTTCCCAAAGCCCCACCTATGAGTGCACGAAGCTCTTGGGAGGCCCCTGTGCTTCCAGTGCCCCTCTATGTCCAGCCATTGCTGAGAGTCCTGGGCATGGAATCATCAGCCCTCAGAGGAGGGGCAGCCCTGCAGTGTGGATGGTGCTTCCTTCACCTCTGAATCTTCCACAGGTCCTTAACAAACGCCTCATGAAGCCCAATCTGTTGAGCCCCATGTCTACCTGGAATTGACTCTATTTCATTCTCTCCACATAGCCAGTTTTTATCTACAAAAACACATCCATTTTGGGAATTTCCTGGTGTTAGACACCGCATTTTGTCCATGTGGGCAGCTTGAATGTTTCCCAGCGAAGTTGGGGATAATTGTGTTTTCCAGAACACTCTCCCTCAAAGAGGTAGCTTGATTGTCAACCACAAAACCTACAGAGGAATTTGGAAGCTGTGCTTTCTACTGGTACTGACCAATTCAGGGAAGACTTGAGCCTCTTGAATTATTCTTCTTTTTAAGAATTACAACTGGTTGATGGTGGTCAACCGTCTTAGGAGATAAGGGCACAAGTGACGTCCTTCAAAGGTTTTAGACACAGCAAAACACAGTAACACAATAAATGAGTATAGGAGTGCCAACTTTTTTTGCTTGTAGTCTTCAGTACTGGATGATTCCTTTTCATATGTATATTGCCTTCATTATGTGACTGTTTCTACATATGAAGCTTGGTCTCTTAAAGTGCTTTCATGTCATTACTTTTCTGCAAGAAATATTCTGTCCAACATTAAAAATAAAAGGACTTACTGCACATGACTTTTGTTTTTGTTTCTGAAGAAATGTATGAGGTGTAGAAAGGGGTGAACTTTATGTTAGTTAGGACTCTGTGTTCTGAATGTCAGAAAACCCAACTGGGCTGGGTAGAAAGCACCACAGCTGTCCTGTGTTTCCAGGAGACCCCAGTGAGTGTGTCCTCATGTGTCCCCGGCTATAGCCTGGTGGTATGCTCAGTCTGGCAGATCATCAGAGCCTGGAGCGCAGGATGTTTACTTATAGAAGTTGCATTGTGCAGTTCAAAATGGGTATTTAGAGGTGTTTTCCCTAAAACAAGAAGTGCTGTACTAGAAGTGGGAGAATGGGTGACAGACACAAATTAACACTAGGTCATAGCAAAATGTTGGTGGGTTCTGGGAGGAAGGGGGAGAGGAGAGAGAGAGAGGGAGAGGAGAGAGAGAAAGAAAGAGAGAGAGAGAGAGAGAGAGA